AAAGTTTTGGCGGAAAAATTTCTCACTGAACAGCTAGGTTATTTTTAAAGAACGACCGTTAAATGGAAGTTGCAGATTTACTTTGTGCAAGATTTGCGGTGATTTATGCTAGTGACCGCAAATGGTGAGTGTGAAGCTGTAACTATTCATGCAGTTAATGATCTGAGTACTTCAAGTTCGGTGCAAAAACAAATGATCACACGGGCCCGCTCGGTGCGTTCCAGCTTGGGTTGTTCATTTCTAAGTGCTCTGTGCCATTATTCCCTGACTGGAGCCCGAAGGGAGCGCTGTACTTTATCTGCGCAGGAAATCCCCATGATCTGAGAAATGGAAAGCATCGTGGTAACCACGAGGGCTTAGATGTCAGTGAAACGTGTCGAGCACCATAAATTCCTCCACTTCGCTGATTCGCAACATATTTCGTGCATTCATAGCTGCTTCTTACCACTGCACTGTAATTTATCAGTCACGCAAAAGTAAATCTTGTTTGATTTTCTGTTCTGGTGTAATTCATTATACATTATCTACCACAGCACTTGTTTCGTAAAGGCCAATGAACCAGGGCATTATTTGGAAAACAAAAGATGACGGTGTTTCGGAGCAGAACATACTTTCCTGCGAAAACTCCGTATTCACAAATAGTAGAACCACAAAAGAAACGAAATTCTGTACGCACAAGAATCCCTGCTCGCGAAATTCAAGAACACCAACACCCTGACTCCAGGAGATTCGATTGGACTAGAGCAACAGCAGCGAGGTTGTCAGCTACACTTAGGTGCAGCAGCACATCGAGTTACTTTTTTTCGAACTCCGCACTATTTGAAAGTATTTTTTAATAGAAAATGGAGCTGACTACGATGTTTTATATCTACGTTATTCTCGGTACCATTTTGATTCTGTCGAATGGCTATTTTGCATATGTTTTGATTCGGCGACGCGAACTGCGGCAACGCTACTGTATAATTCTAGCGCAGGTAGAATTCATAAAAAATTGGCATATATATATTTATAATGTGGTTTTTTGAGTTGCAAAAAAATTAGAAGCACTGAGGTGATAATTTTCTAGATAATCCCGAAACTGCATGAGTGTTATGATTTTCATGATAAATTTTTCTAAGAAATTAGTAAATTTCTTTAAAGATGATAACAAACACAGCGGAGGGTATTGGAATGTTATCAGCTGGAATCGGACGACTGACTATAATATACGTGCAATACACTGAACTCATCAGCAGACGAACTTGTGTATTTGCACCGTGGAATTTTGTTTTTCTTTGGTGTGTTTTTCGATCCTTTGTCAATCCAGAAAGCGATTCTGTTTTTATGAAACTCTTTTATTAAGCCAGTGAACGAATTTCGTGGAGATAAAATCGCTTCAGGACGAAGTTCAGAACTGAACTTTGTTGCAATTTATGTGCTTTACGATTTGCACTTTTCCACTGCAATTCGACTTTTAGTCGATTTAAAGCGATAAGTTTATTAATCAAATACGACATATGTATGCACTTTGATAAAAAAAAGAAAGCTCTCGATAGAGATTCCTGATCACAGTTTGTAGCTTCCAAACCTAACAAAAAGCGCAAGCTTTTCAGTGAATATTCTTGCTCCATAACAGCTAGAACTTGTCCCCATTCAAGTTAAGATCGGTATGGATAAATGTCGAAGGACTACAGTATTTGAGCTAATTTTACCACACATACGGCACGTAAAAAATCTAGCATTTTTCTTCAAAAAACAGAGGAAGGAAGCAGGGGTGCAACAAACCGGAAAACCATGGTCCCTTGATGATGCACTAGCTTTGATCACAGCAACCGCTGTGGAAGATCTTCATCACTGGTTCCAGTAAGTATAGAAATAGAAGAATAGAAAGATTTCACATGAATGTCATGGGTATGAAGATATTTTATGACACAGTCTGTGTTTCATCCCTTAGCTGTGTACACACAGACCGAACAATGCACTTGGGTAGGAATGGGAATCATCAGTACAGTCTCTTACCCGCCATGTTTTGAATAGTCATGTTGTTGATTTGCAAGGCGGATGAGAGGAAGAAATAGATATAGGTGATGGAGCTAGTAAAGTAAGAAAGGAAAAGAAGGAAAGTTAAAACGTAAAGAAGCAAATTCAGTGAGAAAGGAAAGAAGCGAAGTTAAAACAGGACACGGATAATCATTATATTTAGTGATTAGGAAAAACCTTTTATGAGAATAGACTGCTGGCTAGGTGTCTAATTTCTGAATCATCAGGGAAGACGAAGATCGAGGATGGAATGCGTTCTAGTCTGACAATGTCAAACTCCTTTTGCTTATAGATAGTTGTAGAAGTTAGTAATCCGTTCAGGAAACAAAACGCATGCCAATATGCTGGCTAGCCGAACAGCAGACAACGTGGCCATTGGTCAGAGCCACTGGAAAAGTTACCAGCTACGTAGTTGGACAATCAGACTAGAAATTTTAGCTGATTGAAGCGAGAATATGTGAATATTTCTTTTGTGCTGTATGAAAACTGGTTCAGACCGATGATAGATCTGAGTTGCAGGGTAGAACCGATGCAAGCGGCGTCGCTGCTAATGCTTAGCATTGATCGAGTTTTTGCCCTGTGTACACCAATGTTATATTTTCGTCAGCAATACACTATTGGAATTACTGAGGTGGGCTTAATTTTGCTACTTTTACAAACAGTGACTGGTGGCCGTGATGTAATGGGAAGCATCGCTGCTACCGAATGAACGAATCGTAGAGGGATCAGTAGGACAACTCCCCAATCCCTCTGCGATTCGTTCATTCGTTTCGGTAGTAAATTTTGTACTAACAGGGTGTCGAAATAATCGCTATTGTTTGTGGCGTGAAGCTTGGTGTAAAATACGCAAATATGACTATGGTATAAAATATGCGAAAATTGTTAGCCGTGACTCAGTGGTCGTTTTTAGACTACTGATCTAGCTTAAATAAGACCAATGCTTTGGCTTGTGCAAATTCTACGCCTTAAATGCAACCAGCACTTCACTGAGCTGATAAGAAAGAAATTAGCAATGCGGCAAAAGCTGTACTTGCTTAACAGCACTGCAAGAAAAAAAAAGATCACTGTTATCCTTTTTCTTCCTGAAATCATGATTCTCTCTTTGCCTCTTCAGCCATGGAAAAAAGAGAGATTCCGGGACAAAATCCAGTGATAAAGTTTGTCAGCACAGGCCAAGCAGTGCGCCTAGTGCTTGTCTAGTTTAGAACAGGTGACGTTACATTGTATTCAGGAAAATTTGGGGATCTTCGAAATTTTGGGAAAGTTTCAGATAGCCGCTTGTGTTGCTGTAGTTGCCATATACACATTTACAAGTTGTTGGTTCTCATTGCTAGACACGAAACCTGTGATTTCACCGCTTTGCTGGTTGGTTAGAAGCTTTTTTTATTATTTAATTATCTGATTCCATAGGTTGCTTTCAAATAAATCACTGTTGATAAACAACCTGCTGGATATTTATTTAACAAATTCGCCCTGCCGGTGTTTCACAGCTGCGTGACTTCTTGCCTCTGACACAGCTGGCATTTCCATTCTTCTCCGTTTTGGGTCCACCTCATCCAGAGAATCTGGCATAAACAACGAATAGTTTTATTGCATTGGCAGCCTTCTCTGTGTTTCTTTTAACAATGTATCAGCGCCCCTGATTTTGCAATCACCAGAATTATCACGTCAAGTCTTATTAAAATAATTCAATGAGTTTGGTTTTATTGGGAGGCATTCATTCGCAAAACGGATTTGTGGTGGGCGGAAAGCAAAATTTTTTTTTGTCCTATAAAGTAAAGTATTATAAAATCACAAAATGTATCATTTAAGAAGAAAAAGAATTCCATTAAAATGTTACAAAATTGAATTTGATAAAATTCGGACAAAATAGACTGCAGAAGTAATTGAAAAGTAAAAAAAAAAAATATAAAATGAACTTGCTTCTGCACTTTCAAAACACAAAAAAAAGGAATAAAGGTGCTGTGTGCAGTATGGATACGGGCATGAAGTATGCAATTCAGAAACAAATACCCTGGTAGAGCTGGGCAATTAAAAACTCGGCCCGACTAGGCGGTTTGAAAGGAGAAAGGGCGCGAATTGCGGCGATTTTGGGAATGGCGCGGCAGGGAGCGGAGGAGGCTGGGAGAGAGAAAAGAACCGGGGATGTTCTTTTAAGCTGCGGGGATATGGTTATATGAATTTGTTGCGTTAAGCAAGAAATTGGATGCTGAGAGTAAGCTAGTAGGTTTGTGCTTGCACTCTTAAACATTATGAAAAGTGCTTGCCTGAAATTATGTATTTAGCAGCTCGCATCCAAACCCAGAAACCAGTGCAATTCGTGCGGCCAGACCGAGTTTTAATAATTGCCCGAAGCTGCACCAAACATCGCAAATAAGACAATTATAATAAGATATCCATGGCGAGTGCCTGAGCACTCTTGATGTTCCTAGTACATGCAGTATTGGTGGCACTGCGATCATTTTAGTTTTTGGATATAAACAATAGCACGTCACGTTTTGACGGCGATATGCGTATAATGTAGCCCAATTTTTCAGCTTTTCAACGCACAGATTGTTTACTGTTTATTAATTACTTCAATTTTAGGAGCACAGCAACCTTAAGACCGGTTTTTGAGGATATTGAACTGCTGATTGTGATCTGTGCGTCGATAGGAAGCGTGCTGCTTTATGTCATCGTGTTTATCAAGGCACGGGGTTTCTACCGGACAGTCAGAATTCAATTTGTTAGTTAATTCATTACTTTCTGCTCTTATTATGATTGTTGCTACTACTATTATTAATTATTATTACCGTTGTTGTTGTTATAATTACTGCCGTTATTATCACTGTCATCATCAGCTATTATTATTATTATTTTTATCATTATTATTATGAGTACAGCTATTTTCGCCCTTATTATTATAATTGTTAAGTATTGCTATTATTAATGTCGTTACTACGATGATACATATTATCAGTATCAGGAAGCACAGTAAACAAGTGGCAAAGTTTTATTTCATTCGAATTACTTTCCGGTATCTCGGTTTCTCATACAGAGGGCTCACCGAAAAGATTTTTGTCTGAACTGGCAAAATCTAAGTAAGAGATAACGAAATTAAGAGCAGGAGACGTCTGGAAGGAAGCTGCTAAAAAATAGTACAAATTTTGTGCAAATATTTGCAGCATCGAGCAGCAGTTGCAACATTCGAGCGACGACAGTTGAAACTAACCAGCACAGTATGTGTTTCGTGCCTGTTCACAACGGTGCTATTTGTAGTACCAATGTGCGCACGCTATTTCAAAAATAGTATTTTGAGAAAATACAAAGAAATTATATCAGTTTACTCGCCGATAAGCTGTAATTTGAATCCGGTGGCGGTTATCATTACAATTTGCGTAATCCAGGATGATATCCGACATGCTATGCTCTCCTCGCTCCCACAGCGTCTCCAGCTGTTGGTCAAACACAAATCCACTGTAAAGACAATCTCCTCAACTCAAAGCTTGGATAAGTTTCGAGACAAACTAGGGAAACGAGTTGCTGAAATGAAAATTAAGCCTGTAACCTGTGGTTTGCCCTGAATGCAGTAATTTGGCAGTCAGAGAAAAGCAACGAGGAGGAAATCTGAGGAGGAAAGGGGAAGGGTTTGGAATAAAACTCAGGCTGGAACGCACCAGGCGAGCCGGAGCGATCTTGCATTTTTGCACAAAACTTGAAATTTGATTTTCTCGAGTTACCAATTTTCCCGCCAAAACTTTTACAGGGCCGCACGTGACCTAGAAGCATTCCTGGGGCCTGGTTTGGAATTTCTAAGTTGTATGCAGGCTGAGAACATCCGTTTAAAATTTCAGCCTCGCAGCTTTTCTGGTTCCCGAGTTAGTCATTTACCCGCCAAAAAAGTTTT